TTGATGGGGAATTGGGGGATGGGAACAGCACTGGGGAATTGGGGGAAAGGGAACAGACAAGTTGCTGTCCCCCCTGTTCCTCAGTCTAGTTGTGGAGGACGTCGCCCTACTGGCCCAAGTTGGCACCATCATAGCGCTCTTCCCGGGTGAGGCAGATCAGTTGCCGGCTTCTGGACAGCGGGTCACGGCCGCTCTTGCTGGCTGCTGGCTACACAAGGTAGCCCATGGCAACCCACTGCAGCAGGGGCTGCAGCCTACGCCATCGTGGGCGACGCACAGCAGCCCAGCTCCAGGTTGAGCTGTTGTTCAGCATCTTAGCTATAGAGGGCAGTGTCACTGGCCCTCATATGTGGGATCCAAACCGGGGCCCTCTGGTGTCCCAAGCCAGCTCTTAACCAATGCGCCACTCGGTCGGCCCTCCAGTGTACTTTTTTACAATCTTAAAATATATTCCCTGTTCTCCACCCACATTTCTCGATTTAGTTCTAATATTTCTTCTTATATCTTTCTTGAATACGTTACTGGATGAGATTTTGTAACAGCATTCCCCCAAAAAAACTTCACTGGTCCCCATTCACAATATAAAAGGTTTTCAGGGCCCTGATCTTGGTTTAACCTTTTCAGCTTTATTTTGTACTTTTCGCTTTGCCACACATACCAGAAACATCACTTGTTCTGAAAGTAGATAGAACTGGATCTTAATCCTGGCTATGCCAGTTTACTGGCTTAGGCAAATTGCCTGACCTTTCTGAGCCTCATGAATTGATTCTATAAAAAGCAGCATCTAACAACAATGCCTGGCATATAGTAGGTACTCTAAATGCTTATTCCTTGTCTGTGCTTTCCACGCTCTGGTTTTGCTCACATCATTTATCTTTGTCTAGAACAGGAGTCGGCAAACTGCTGCTCTTTATTTCAAAGGTTTGCCGCCCCCTGGAAGAGCCAATCCTGTCCCTCACAACAATTTAAAAATTATTCGAGAGCCATAAATATAATTTTACATAATCACCATTATGTGAGTAATATCCTTTAAAAATTTTATAAATGAAACTATGATAGTTTCATTTTCATTTTCAATTTTACTTCAGAGTCTGCTCGTGAGCCACAATTTGCTGACCCTGGTGCCTCTTCTGTCTCAAAAGTTAGCTGACTCCTGCTCTAGAATATCTAAGTACTCTACTTGTTATTCCATACCTTGCCCTTAAAATTCTCTCCATCCTTCAAGTCTCAGTTTAAATGTACTTCTTTCTTTTTTTTTTTTTTCATAAGCTGAGCCATCCTGCTACCTGTTGGCAGCTCAGCAGCTGTTCAGCTCGGGCCGGGCATCGAACCGCTGTTGCTCAGAGCTCAAACTCTTGAGCAAGCTCTTAACCAATTGAGCCACTAAATGTGCTTATTTCTTGAAGCCTTCTCTTGTCATCCCACCTAGAGGATGAACTCGTCTCTTTCTGGATTCTTCTAGAAATTTTATCAGGTTGTTGATCAATTACTACCTTGCTTGATATTATTTTGAGCATGGAGTAGATCTGATTCTGCTCTTAAACCTTCTTCCCTCTGCATATATTCGTCTAAGGTAGAGCTTTCCACTGACATTACACTCAACAATTATGGAGGGAAGTTGGTTGACCTCCAATTCATGTCTCTCTTGGGCCTTAAATTGATGGCCCGTGGTTGGAAATTAAGAATGATTTTTAGGAGGCCTGCCTTGAGTAAATATAAATGTTTCTGGTTCCCCCCATTAAAGGGAGAATCCAATGTTTGGGTTGTCTGGGTAGTAAATAGTGCAGCATGCTTGGGGAAGGCAATTTTCCCTTCCCTGGGCTCAGTAATATTATACCTCTCGACAGTTTTATACCTTAATTAGGACCTTGGGTTTTTACCAGTTAAATGCTATTCCTTGATTATACCAATAGGACAACGGGGGCCATCTGCCTAGGAATTAAGTCTATCGTTAAGAGAGCAATTTGATTTTTCTAAAGACCTTTCACCCTCCCTCCCAGGAGGCCAAATGAATGAAATTCTCTCTGTGATTTTCAAAGCAAGGCCAGTTGTATTGTGGTTGCCCTGAACGTGTAGAAGGACAGTGTGACATTTGCCCGGTTCTGATCTGGTGCTATCCCGCATCCTGTCCTTAGTATTTTTAACTCCTTTCTCTCCACTAAATTGATACTATTATCTTTTTTTTTCAATGTAAACTTTTTTTTGAAGTATAATGTACATTTAGAAATCGTATGTATTCAGTGAATCGTCACAAAGTGTCACAGCAGTGGAACCAGTACCCAGTTCTGGCAGCCTAACGTTACCATAACCCCAGGCTCCCAATCATTAACAACTGCCCATCAGTGGTAACCATTATTATTCTGGCTTCTAATGCCAGAGATTGGTTTTGCCTGTCTTTGAACTTTATATAGATGGAATCACATAGTATGTACTTTTTTGTGTGTCTGCCTTCATTCACGCAACATTATGTCTCTGAGATTCATCCATGTGTAGTTGTAGTTTATGTTAAAGTTTTTCATCATATGAATATAACACAGTTTACATGTACTTATCCATTCATTATACTGTGAATGGGCATATTTAGGTTTCCAGTTTTTACTATTATGAGTAAATGTTTCAGTGAACATTCTTGTACATGTCCTTTGCACATATATACCCATTTCTATTGGGTATATATCTAGGAGGGATTTTATTTATTTTATTTGTTTTTAAAGATTTTTATTGGGGAATTGGGGGATGGGAACAGCACTGGGGAACTGAGGCAAGGGGAACAGACAAGTTGCTGTCCTTTTGTTCTTCAGTCTAGTTGTGGAGGACGTTGCTTCACTGCCCCAAGTTGGCACCATCATTGCGTTNGTAGCAACGAAAATAATTTTATGGTTGGGGGGTCACCACAACATGAGGAACTGTATTAAGGGGTCGCGGCATTAGGAAGGTTGAGAACCACTGCTCTAAAACAATTTGCTTTTGTTCTCTTTGTACATTATTACTTTTAATCTAAATGCAGGATTTTCACAAATTAAATTTCCTGTTCATTTTAGTCTGTCATTATATTTATGTAGCTTATTTTTTTCATCTATTGCATGTGTGTACCCTCTCTTCCAACTTTATCTTCCTTTCCCAGGGTGAAGCCCTAAAGCCAAAGAAAGAAGCTTGTTTAGTTATTTGCTCTCAGGCTTCAAAGAACCAGTAAAGAGGAGCTCATTTTTATTGAGCATCTCCTGGGTTTTATTCACTGTTGGAACCTTATTTATTTTCATTTGAGCAAGGAGGCCACCCACTTGGGCTTCTACCTACTGCTATGGACTTGTAACAGAGCACAGGAATCAGATGCTTGAGTGGGACATGGTGGGGACCCTGAGAATTCCCACAGGTCCCTTCTCTGGACTCCCTCAGCTCTCTGCTTGTGTCATTGAACACTTACCTTGTCCTACTCAACTATACATGTTTTTTACACTAGCTGTGATCATGTCTCATTCATCTTAGACTCTCTCAATGACTGTCATAGGGATTAGGCACTTATGGTGGAGGCATTTGTTCAGAGGTATTAAAGTGGGACTTGCTGTCCTGACCATACTTGTGCTGTAGGAACTTCACAGACCAGCTGCGGAAGATTTCCAAGGATGCAGGGATGCCCATCCAGGGCCAGCCTTGCTTCTGCAAATACGCGCAGGGGGCAGACAGCGTGGAGCCCATGTTCCGGCATCTCAAGAACACCTACTCTGGGCTGCAGCTCATTATCGTCATCCTGCCAGGGAAGACGCCAGTGTATGGTACAGTTCTCCTGGGACAGTGGTAACGATGATGGGACCCTTCTCAGAGTAGCTCCCTGGAGGCCCCTGGGGAGACTCAGTGTGGATTCTTAGCTCTAGCCAGAGCCGTCCCTTACTGTCAGTGCTCCTCTTCTAGGAGAAATGTCAGCCTTAAGAGCCATTGAGTCACCCCAGGTCCTGCTTACCTGCTCACCCTCCCTGCCAATAACATTTACTGTGGTCCTCTGTGTGCTGGTCTTCATGCTAGGCTAAGCTGGGCCAGATACAGAGATGGGTTAGTGCATGGGTTAGAACGTGTGGTGTTTCTGTTAGTGTCCCATTGCCTGGGAAGGACTTGGACTTTTTGAGACGTTTTCTCTTTCTCCCTCTCTTTTCCTCTTTTAAGAATAGGAATGACTGACTGTAGACATCTCTGGCTCAGTACTTTTCTCTTTACTCCATTTTCCTTCTCCACCTATCATGCTTCAAAGGAAAAGGTGTCCCTCGTCTTACCTTGCTCAACCTGTGTGTGCTCTTGTTCCCATCCCATCTTACTACCTTGGGGACTTTAACCCTCAAACATCTACAGATTCCCTGTCCTAGAGCTCATTACCATGCCATCTCCTTTAGCTTTTGTCTTCCTATTTTCTTCATCATACTTTTTGAATGAGTTCTGTACATTCTCTAGACCCACTTCCTCACCAGCCACTTACTCTTTTGCCTCTTTCATCTACCTTACTTCTACCTTTCTCCTAAACCTCCTCTGTAGAGGGTCCTCTTCTTTTGACTAATTCTAGTTCTCCTCTTCTTTTGACTAATTTAATATTTTCTCCTGTTCTCCTCTTCTTTTGACTAATTTAATATTTTCTCCTGTCTCCCCTTATTTTCGTCATTACCAGGAATGCCTGGCATTGTACAAGTTTCTGTATGATACAGTGCCCTTGGGACAGTAGTAACAAGAATAGGGCTCTTAGGGTAGCTCCTCTGTCCTCTCTTTCTGTCTTTCCACTTGAATGAAATTCTCATCCGTTTCAGTTACTTCAATCACCACCTATTATTATTAGTATATGTTATAATGTATTACTAAAATCTTTATCCAACCTTTGACCTCTCTGCAACTCCCATCTGGCTCTTCGACCCCTCTCTTTTACTTCATCAACAGTTTATTGATGACCTACTATGTGGGAAGCACTGTGCTCGATCCTGAATACATCGGTGAAAAAAGCCAATCAATGCCGTCTCTGCTCTTAGAAAGTGCTCTGGTGGGCCATCTCTTTAGTAGCTTGTCTTCTTTGTCTACCAGTGAGTCCTTTTCTTTACTTCTCTTTTCTGTGTTTGGCATCACAGTTGTTTCTGGGTGCTTTCATCTAGACTTTGGAGGCAGTCTGTCTTCTCTCTGTTTCACCTCCAGTGTATTTTTTTTTTTTAGCTGAGCCATCCTGCCTCCTGTCGGCAGCTCAGCTCAGGCCGGGAATCGAACCGCTCCTGCTCAGAGCTCAAACTCTTTTTTTTTTTTTTTAAAAGATTTTGATGGGGAATTGGGGGATGGGAACAGCACTGGGGAATTGGGGGAAAGGGAACAGACAAGTT